AGACAGAAAGTTCTTACTAGGCTTAGACCCGAAATCACACAGAGAAAAGGTGAAACAGGCATCAGGCATCAATTGATCAAAGACCTTGTTTTTCATAAGTTCCAAGATTCCAGTCTGCTACATCTCGGTCCCATTTGCATCACTTCTCATTAAAATTCAGACAAGATACATAATAGCCTCAAAGAAACTGTCAGGTCAGAGTTTCTCCACGGAAAGGTTTTCTCTAGAGGGACTTGTTCTGCTGTGAATGTATGCAAAACCATCCCCTCAGGGATTGCTTGGTACGACCTGAATATTTCCGCGATTACTTGAGCCCTGTGGTTAATTACATTTGCAGATGAAAACATACGCCTCCTCATTAATTCAACACTACATAATCTATCATAATTACTGGCAAACAAGTTATTGTTTTAATTTTTAGTTTGTGGCTTTGATTCTGACCAACTTCAGTGCAGGTCTGTGAACAAATGTACACAGTAAAACCCTGCTCTCTAGATTAACAGTGATAATAAGCAACCACCAAGGATATTTTCCATCGTTTTTAGGTATTTCTGAACTAGAATTTTTTTATTTAATAGTGTTCTTACTGTAAATTGTAGCGGTGTAACAGAGCATTCAGCTCAAGAGAAGGTAAATTATATATTACTCACAAGAATTAGACATAATAATGACATTTTTGCAATGTTCTTGGGGAAACTAAGAATTGTATTTTTTATTTTTATTTTTATTTTAGTGTAAATGTGTGTTTCCACTGCAGGAAACATTTTAAGGATTCAGGGTCACTTTATGTTTTTTCTACCACCATCATGTCCACTGCAGGAACCAAGATTTATGCAGGGTGCTGAACATTTCTTAATGGTTAAATATTCCCGGCATTTTGTTTTAGTAATCTCTACGTTTAGCTCGTCTACAGTTTATATATTCTGTCAGCTTTAAACTATATGACAGGAAATGAAGGAAATTAATTGCTGACTTGTGTTTTCCATTTCTGAGAAAGCTTATGGAATAATGATCTCATCTCATTTAGGGATTTAAACAAGTTAAACTGTTTTGCAGCATTTATGTTCTGAAATACAAATGAAAACATTCACGATTGCTTATTAGTAATAGATTTTGTACCAAGATGGCGCATCTGATTGTACCAAGATGGCGCCGACGATGGCAGCCTCTGAGCTTCGCTCTCTCTTTCTTTGTGTATTTTGTGTGTTTTTATGTTTTTTGAGCCACAGTACTGTGGTCTCGGGCCACAATTCTGTTGGCTCATACAGCAGAGAGGAACTTCTCAACATCAGAGAGTCCTCTCTCGGGATTTTTTCACCGTCATTCATCCATCCGAGCTTCACCGAACTCCTGGCGAGCGGAGCCGCGGCACTCTGCGAGATACTCCACCAAAAGCGCCGAAGGGGAAAGCGTGCTGGCGCACTAGTAAAGCTCCGCCAAAGAGGACTATGAACACCACTGCCTTCAATCCATCTGGCAAATGTCTGCTCTGTAAGTAACAAGATGGACGAGCTGCTTCTTCTCACCAGTAAAAACACGGACCTCCGCGGATCAGCGGTTCTCTGCTTTACCAAGACATGGCTGAGTGAAAACATCCCGGACCGCGCATTGCTGTTGCCGGACTTCCAGCTGTTCAGAGCGGATCGCAGCGTGGAGCTTTCGGGGAAGAGGCGAGGAGGCGGAATCTGTTTTTATACAAACAAAGGTTGGTGCAGAGACATAAAGGTGCTGGGGAAAACATGCAGTTCTGATCTGGAGACATTTTCCATAAACTGCAAACCGTTTTATTCACCGAGAGAGTTTTCCTCGTTTATAATAATTGGCTCATATTTTCCACCGCATGGCTGCACTTCTGCCGCGGAAAAACATCTCACTGAGCTGATTACAGACGTGGAGAAAAAATTCCCTGACTCTTTCATCATAATACTGGGAGATTTTAACAGAGCAAACCTCTCCAATGAACTCCCGAAATATAGACATCATATTAAGTGTCCTACCAGAGACAAAAACACACTGGACCAGTGTTACACACCTTTAAAGGACTCATATCATGCTGTTACCAGGGCAGCTCTGGGTTTTTTGGATTATTCTCTAATCCACCTCATCCCAACCTACAGACAGAAACTAAGAGCTTCCAAACCCAAGGTTCACACTGTTAAGAAGTGGACTGAGGAATCAAAGCAGACGCTACATGTCCTCCACATCCCATTCAGGAACAAATTCCTTCCTTAAAGTAACCAACCCCCTACCTTCAGATCCTCTGCCTGCAATAAAGATTTCTGAGGAAGATGTAAATAGGCTAATTCAGCGCATGAAAACAAAGAAAGTTGGAGGACCTGATAACGTCTCCCCATCATGTCTGAAAGCCTGTGCACATCAACTCGCCCCGATCTTCACCCAGGTCTTCAACAAGTCACTGGAGACGTGTGAGGTCCCCTCCTGCCTCAAACGATCCACCATCATCCCAGTGCCCAAGAAACCCACCATCCTAAGATTAAATGACTACAGGCCTGTAGCCCTGACGTCTGTGGTCATGAAATTCTTTGAGCAGCTGGTGTTGAAGTCCTGAAAGACATCACAGGCCCCCTGCTGGACCCCCTGCAGTTTGCTTACCGAGCAAACAGGTCGGCAGATGATGCTGTCAACTTAAGTCTACACTTTATCTTGCAACACCTCGACCGTCTAGGGATATACACCAGGATCCTCTTTGTAGACTTCAGCTCAGCCTTCAACACCATCATACCAGACATCCTCCACCAGAAGCTCACCCAGCTCAACATTACGGCCTAGACAGACAGCAGCAGGTGAGAGCATCTTCTCCCGCAGCAGATCAATAAGTACTGGTGCCCTCCAGGGGTGTGTTCTATCCCCACTCCTCTTTTCCCTGTACACAAATGACTGCACCTCATCGGACTCGTCCATGAAACTCCTGAAGTTTGCAGACAACACCACTGTCATTGGTCTGATCCAGGATGGTGATGAGTCTGCATACAGACAGTAGGTGGATCGGCTGATACACTGTTGTTGTCAGAACTACCTGGAACTCAACCCACTCAAGACTGTGGAAATGTTGGTGGGCTTTCGGAGAACACCACCCCCATACACCCCCCTCACCATCCTCAACAACACCGTGTCAGCTGTGGACCATTTCAGGTTCCTAGGAACCACCATCTCTGAGGGCCTGAAATGGTCCTCACACATAGACAATGTTCAGAAGAAGGCCCAGCAGAGACTGTACTTCCTGAGGCAACTCAAGAAGTTCAACCTTCCACAGGAGCTGCTGGTCATCTTCTACACTGCCATCATTCAGTCTGTCCTGTCTTCATCCATCTCAGTGTGGTTTGGTTCATCCACCAAACAGGACTGGTCCAGACTGCAACAAATAATCAGGGCTGCCCTTCCCTCCATCCAGGACTTTTACAGAACAAGGGTCAGGAAAAGAGCTGGAAAAATCCCTGCAGACCCTACACACCCTACACATAAACTGTTTAGAGTACTACCCTCAGGCCGTCGTTACAGAGCACTGTTTACAAAACCCAGCCGCCACAGAGACAGTTTCTTCCCCCAGGCTGTTTCTCTGAATGGCATTTAATAAAGTACCAAACAACAGCATACAGATGTTGCAAATCCACCTTTGTATATGTATATATTGTATATATGTATTTATGGACATAAGGATATATGCAGAATATATCTTATAACACAAAAAAACAAAAAAGAAACCCAGAGAGCAAAGTGTACTGGAGTCAAATTCCTTGTTTGTTGTATGTACGAACTTGGCAATAAAGCTGATTCTGATTTTAAGTTTGAAATAAGCAGATGCAGTATGTGTGGGTGGTCAGTGCTCCTTTGAGAGAGATATTGCATGCTTTCAAAATCTGTGGATCAATACAACTATCATCTGAGTTGGAATTTACTTAGTTTTAGAGTTTACATGCAGTAAAATAATCACAAAAAGTTTTGTTTTTTTTCATGAGCACGCTGAAATACTGACTGGAGCTACCCTTGAAAAGGGGAGGAGAGTGTAGGATCACTTTTCAAAAAGTGGGCCTACACATGTAAATCTACATTAGCGAAATCTGAATAAGGTTTGTTGCAATTTAAGCTTTCTGCAAGGTTTTAAGTGACTGTATGTAAGTCATAAAATGTGACTGCTGTGACAGATTAATTCAATAGGGTTTCAGTGCAAAAAGTTGTACTTTCCTTTTTATGACTGGAACTTTTTCTGGCCTGCACACCTTTGGTTATGATCAGTGCAGTATATTCAACATCTTTTCTGGATAAACATTTCGATAATGTTTGTAGAGACACTACTTGGCTTTTAAACCTTAATCACTATAAAAACAATCTGAGAATAATGCTGTATATGTCACATTCTAAGTAGTTTATATTTTGAAGCAGAGGGGATCAAATCTAGTCCAGATTTCTTAAAATTGTGAAACAGTTCCGTTAGGTAGCTTTGAAGTAGATGCTAACTTTAGCATTGTTAGTGGCTAACAGCCCATCTTGATATTCTTATAGTGCTTTTGAAGTGTTTGAATCTTTTTTCTCAATTTTTCACAGTCTCACAGGCTAACGGTAGGGTTGCGTGGTTATTTGTGATAGACGGTAAAAACGATATAAATTTTTCCTATGGTAGAGATTTGCGCTCTACCGTCCTATTGTCAGTTATTATCAGGATTTGCTCAGTGACACTTTTGCACTGCAGAACAGAAGTCTCTTCTGTGTATTTAGTTATTTAGAATATCTATTTATAATTTTTATTTATTTTTGTGGGGGTTTTTTTTGGTCCCCTTTGCACTATTTTGGATTACAGAAAAAAAAAAAATAACTTGCTTGCAAACAATGTTCAGTGTTTTATTTGAAATATGCTGTCTTTTTTTGTTTTTTAACTGAAAACATGTTAGGTGTACTGTAAGTGTTTCTCTTTGAAATATCTGCAGTGGCAACATGAGTGTTTAGTGACTCTTTTAGTGTACATATTCTTGACTATTGTGGGCTGCACGGTGGCGCAGTTGGTAGCACTGTTGCCTTGCAGCAAGAAAGTTGTGGGTTCAATTCCCAACTTTCTGCATGGAGTTTGCTCACATGTGGGTTTTCACTGAGTGTCTCTGGCTTCCTCCCACAGTCCAAAGGTTAACTGGTCACTCTAAATTGCCCTTAGGTGTATGAATGAGTGTGTGCATGGTTGTTTGTGTGTTGACTTGTGATGGACTGGCAATCTGTCCAGGGTGTACCCTGCCCCTTGCCCATAGACTGCAGGAGATAGGCACCAGCTTCCCCACAACCCACTATGGAATAAGTGGTATAGAAAATGACTGACTGACTATTGTCTTGCAGTCATTAACCTTTTCAGATCAATTAAGCTTAAAGATGATACCTTTGCAGCAACTTACTCTACTGATGTTTATTAAATTCTTTACACTGAGGATTTTTCAGTGTAAAGAAAGTGTCACAGTAGAAAATGGCAGTTAGAAACATACAGTACATGCTGTGAAATCCAATTATACCACCTCTCTCTGTACTTGTTGCTGTCTTCTTGATTTCTTGTTTAGTACCTCCCCAAGTCGCATATGTAAGATAAATAGAGTACACATGTGGGAATTTTAATATCAGTATAAAATCATGAAGACAAAGTAACAGACTGCTCAGGGAACAGGTTTTGGAGAAGTTTAAAGCAGAGTTGCTTTACAAAAAAAAAAAAATAAATAAATATTCCAAATTTTGGACATTGCATATAGTTCAAATCTATGCTTTGAAATTTGAAAGAGTACAGCACAGGTCCCACCCTAACAAGACTTGACCATTCACCTAAGGCCAGGCATTTAGAGCATTATTCAGTGAAGCAACTAGGAGGCCCGTAGTAACTCTGGAGGAGTTGCAACAATCCACACCTCAGGTGGGAGAATCTCCTTGATATTTGGTGGTTTCTTTTGCAGGGAGACTGTGGTGGAGGTCCACCTTCCAGCACAAAAATAAGCACACAGCCAGAGCTGAAAACTGATTTGTTTAGATCAAAGTGCATTCATGTGTTATGATGGTCCAAATTCCAGACCTAAATCCAATTGAGAACTTGTAGCTTTAAAAAAAAGCTTCTACATGTCTAAGACTAGCAGAGACATACCCTAAAAACTTGCAGCTGTGTTACAGCAAAAGGTGGTTCCACAAAATATTGACTCAGGCGGTGAATTCTAAAGGGCAGCACTTTTCAGATTTGTAATTGTAAAAAAAGTTTACAATGTTCCTTATTTGGTAGTCTTTCAAATAGAATGTATTTAAGTTTGTTGCTTTTGTGCAGTATTTCAAGCAACGATTAGGGTAAATGTCATAAGGAAACAGAAGAAGTCTATTTAAAAACTTCAAACTATGTTGAAACGGTTTCAAAGTTAAGAAAAACAAGTCATTTGAAAACAGCAAGACAAAAATAAGTAATAAAAGAAGAACTAAAAAAAGGGGAAAAATACTAAACATGTTAAATGAGTTGATGCATTGATTTTTTTGGTTGTTTGTTCATTTCTGTTTGTGAATATCCTGCTTCCTTGAAAAACTGTCTGTGTCCAAGAGCTGCTTCCACAGCGTGTAGTGAGCTAAAACAGAAGCCTATAGGCATGGTCTGTGTATCAGTTCTGGCTGCACCCAAGTCCCTTTAACATATCTTATTAGTCAGGTCTTTAAAAGCCTCGGCATGCCTTCAAAGGCACACTCCTCCCCAATATCCCTGATTAAAGTGCGACTGATGCTCCCAGTGCAGAGCCAAGTTGGCCACACAGCGTTTATGTTGGGTCATGCTCATTACTCAGACACACTGCCTCTGCCTCCACGACTGGAAGTAGAACATAATGCAAAGCATCACCGAATGAGTGATTTGAGAACTTTGAATCCATAATGAGACAGTAGAAATGAAACTACAAATTGTTCTCAGCCTGTCATTTCATGTTGTTAATAAGCATTTGGGTTGCCTTCGATGAGCGTGGAAGATTTACAGTTTAAATGGGGCTGGAATTGAGGATTGTTTGTTAGGCCATGAAATCACATCAGCATGACCTGACTTTTATCATTTACATGTATATAGATAATAAAATGCCACAGATGAGTGTAGTTGTACAGGGCACCTGCTATAGGTTAATGCTTTTACACCAACCAGATTTAATGTCACCCTCTTCACCAGGGGTCATATATATTTAGATTTATGTGGTACCAAAATTAAAGAGTTACTTTACTGAATCATTTTGATCATTACCAGTGATCATGACGTTTAATCTCTCCTGATTTCAAGGTTCACTTCATAGTCTCTGTGATGTAAATGTCTGCATCTCTGCCAGTATATCGGTATCTGCATAGACATTACCACCTGCAGCACAAAATTTCTAAGTGTAGAAAATGCAGGCCTGCTGACTATGCCTGAGCCTCACATGAATCAGGAAAGCGAAACAGCAAAAATACTTATCTGAAGCATCTGAGATTCAACAAATGCTGTGGAATCCTTCTTTAAAGAAGTACTGTGTATGGTTTGGTACAAACAAATTTATTTATCATTAAATCAGTAGATGAGCCAAGGCACACAAACTTTTTAAATTTTAGGGATTTTCTTGTCACGCCAGCACAGGCAGACTTTGTTTTGCAGTTGTGAGAAATGTAGACTGACTCATAGATACATTTTTGTGAAAATTGAGCTCAGTGCAGAAAAGATTTGTTGCTGTGTGTATATCATGCAACAACTTTAATAAACTCTCAATGCCAAGAAATATCTACAAAATTAATTAATTCCTTGTTAGCGTGATGTTATTTTCACATTTCACCATGTTACAACATTACACTTCAATGTATGCTGTTGGAATTTTATATATACTGACACAAAGTAGTGCATGAGTTAAAGTAAAAGGAAAAACTAACCACAATTTGTTTTCACTAAAAAATGAAATGAAATGTGGTTTGCATTTGTATTTAGCCCCCTTTGATTTGATACCCATAAATAAAGCCCAGTGCAATGCATTGGCTTTAGAGGTCACATTACAGGATTCCTTTCCTGTATATAATTTAATCTCAGTATAAAGCCAGTCATTTTATAAGGGCCTCAGAAGTTTGTTAGAGAACATTAGTGAACAAACAGCATCATGAAGACCAAAGAACACAACAGAGTGGTCAAGGATAAAGTTGTAGTAAGTTTAAAGCAGGATGATGTTTTTTAAGTCTTAAATACCTGCAAACCTGCCAAGACTTAGCCACAAACAGGCCATTTATCAGAGAGGAAGCCGAGAGGCTGATGGATGCTGCAGAGATCAACAATTCAGGTGGGAGATTCTTCAACTATTAGTCATGAAATCCACAAATGTGGTATTTTTGCAAGACTGGCATGAAAAAAGCCATTGTTGAAATAAAGGTATAAGAAAGCATGTTTGAAGTTTGCAACATGCTATTTAGAGGACACCTCACACATGGGGAACAGGATGCTTTTTTAAGATGGGACCAAAAGTTTACTTTTTGGTGTATATTTCATACACTATATGTGTGAGAATTCTAACTATGCACATGAACCAAAACACACCATCCCTACATTAAAAGATGGTGGTGGCAGCACAATGTTATATCGGCACCTTCCTAAAACAATGGCCTGAATAATTTTTTCGTGAAAAATTTATGTTTTGCCTAAATCATCTCCTCATGATGCTAGCCATCTTTTGTAAAATTTTCTAAATCCCCCGTTGAGGAGGTCATGCAATTCCATGCCTGCTGTATAATGGCCTATGTCAAGAGTGTGACTTAAGCAGTTTTACAGGCTTTTCAAAATGGTGGCCACTTCAGGAAAAAAAATAAAATAAATAAATCTACTCAGCCACTTAAGCTATTTCCATAATTCAGGGTTCCTCCCCTATTGGTAAGTGCCTATGTTGTAGTAAGGCTCACCACAATATTGACTAGGCATTAAATATTTAATAGATATTTAGTATTTTATTTCTGTCTTTCAGTCAGCATTTTTGTCCACAAAGTAGGTACATCCATGAAGCTAGCATTTAGCACAGAGTGGAAGAGCTCCAGAATCTGTGGCTGTAACAGGTAATAATTTTTTGTCAACTCTTTTCTTTGTTTTTGAAGATCACTTCATCAACTGTTTTTCTTTAAATTTTTCACATTATATGATCTAATTGAGAAAGATATGTAGCTTAATAAATAGGACTATAATAAATAGCTATGTCAACACTTATCTGTTGTTATTACCATTCTGGGTGAAATTGTTAATAAATATTATATATTTATTGTTAAGTTTTTTGTGTTTCCTGAAAAACTTGTATTATTTTAGGAAGGTGACGATATGGATGCTGTTGTTGGGTAAAGGCAGGAAACCTGGTAGGTTTTAGACCATGGCAATCCTAGAAGAAAGTATGTCAGAGGATGCACAAGAACTTAGACTGGGGCAGAGGTTCGCTTTCCAGCAGAACAACAATCCTAAACATACAACCAGAACTGTGATGGAACTGTTTAGATCAAAGCACATTCATTTAGATCAAAGGTCAGATCTAAATCCCCCCCCCCCCAGATTCTTTTTATTTTCAGTCCCTAAATGAGTTAACTTTCTATAGAGTTAACTTTCTATAGAAAGTTAACTTAGGGAGGCTGATTACTAATAAATACCACATTTTTTGTTAAATATTTTAAAAACATTTATGCAGTACTTTGAGTTGGTATATCACCAAAACTCCAAATAAAATACATTGAAGTTTGTGGTTGTGCAGTAAATATTAACACTTTGGTAGACAATGTATCTGAAGTGACTGCTTCGAGGCTGATGGGGAAAAGTTTTATTTTTTTCCCGGACTGTCAAAATTATATTTATATCTATGAATTAAAATAAGAGGTTTGAAGAGTCCTGCAGCTGATCTATTAGGAGTATTGGATTTTTTGCCTGATAATCTGGCAAAGTAGGACTGCACATCTACAAGATTTGTGTAAATGGAACTAAATACTGAACACCGACATCACTTCGAAAACAAACAAAAAAAAAAAAAATAAGTTAAAGATGCAAGTTCAGAAAAGTGAAATTCAGAATCTAATTAATTCTGTTAGTTGGTTTGTCTAG